ATTCTATTGTGAAACCACTTTTTTGTCAGGATCCTGGATAGCCTAGACGGTATAGTGACTGGATACGGGCTGGAAGACCGAGGGTTCGGAGTTCGAATCCCGGTAGAGTCTAGAATGTTCTCTTTTGTACGACGTCCAGACCGGCTTTGGGGTCAACCCAACCTCCTATCCAATGGGTACCGGGGTCTCTTTCCCCGGGGGAAAAGCGGTTGGGGCGTGAAACTGACCACTAACCTCCAGCTAGTCCCGAGATCAAGAAAATATGGATCTATACATCCACTTCCTCAAACGTCTTCGTGGCGTAGTGCTTAATTAGTCAAGCACAGGGACAGCTTTACGTTTACCTTAACACTCTTGTTGTGTTGACGGATACCTTGCCTAACCACATGTAAGTGGAGTGAGTACTACTTCGTTGTTTCATTTTAAGACATTGTGGTTTAACTCGTCTGCAATGGAAAAATCTTTTATTTTAAAGAATACTATATTAAGATGCGCTGTGGTACAGACCACATTCGGCAGTTAAATATCTTGCTAAGTCAGTTCAAGAAAAGACAAAATAAACCGCCTTCAAATGTGTCTTGCCTAACAACATTTGTTCAAAAGTCAGGCATTACAGTACGTACTAGTACGTACACCGCGGCGGCCCAGTTTCGAACCTGGGTCTGGTCATGTGGGTTATGTTGGGGACAAAGTGGCAGTGGGGTAGGCTTTCTCCGAATAATTCTGTTTCCCCTGCCAATCTTCATTCCGCCGATGCTCCACAATCACTATCATCTATCATGTGTGGCTGGTACAATAGGTCAGTAGTGGCCGCAGTGTCAGGTGGACTCAGTCTCACCCCAGTAAGAATAATAAAAATATAATAATAATAATAATAATCTGCCACCTCCATCCAGCCAATGCTAGGCTTGATAGTCATTTCCTCTTGGCTTACGCCAGCCGTTTCTGGGAGCATGGACAATTAGAAGAGACATGATATAGTTCAGGCTTTAAGGGACATTCCAAGCTACAGGAGGCCCAAAAGAGAAAAGGTTAGCGCATTTGCTCTCGTGCTTTGCGAGCATGCTGGAAACTGAAACAAGCAAGGGCCAGCGAGAACTCATATTTCTGCTCAGTTATGTCGTGATATTCTTCAAGATGTTGACCCATGTTTTTATTCGAACATATTTTCAAGAGTACTGCTATACTCGGTAGCGTAGTTGGTTGAGGCACTATGCTACAAGCCGGAAGGTCGCGGTTTCAAGTCCCGATGAGGTCATTGGAATTTTTTGCAAATTACTTAATCCTTCCAGCCTCATTATGACCCTGGGATCGACTCAGCCTCTAACAGAAATGAGTAGCAGGAATACTCTTCCAATATTCTTGGGGGTAAAGCGCAGCCGGCGCGTAGGGCTGACAACCTTGCCGCCATCTATGAGCCGATTGTCTAGAAAATGTGGGACCCTCGACGTCTCACAACCCTATGGGCCTCCACGGCCTGTTACAAGGATACCTTAATTTTTACTTACTTTACTTTACTGCTATAAGCCGAAAGGAAATGAAAATTGTGCAGACTAAAAACAATGACATCGATTATTGTTCCAAAATGTGGAAGAATTTCAAAATTGTTGTTAACTGAGAAGCTCAATCATTTGAAGTGGTTTGGTGAGAAAGTGGGAGCTTCTGGTGGGTAAATAAAGAACACTCAGAATTCGGGCTAAAAGATAAAAGAACTGTAAGATAGCGTCTGCAGTACTGTGGAATAATAGACAAATTCTCACACTGAGGTTTATTTCACGTCATGCCTTTGGAAAATATAAACGTTACTCTGAAAATTTTCCAATTAATGCTTATTAGTCATTATTGAAATTATGCGAACAACATTTTGATTACCTTCTTCTGAAAACTGAAATTTCTGTTATAATTTGTCGGAGGAATATTTTTATGAAATAATTTTTGAGACCTGTTCAAATATTTTATCGCTTCAACTGTGAGAATGACATTATTAGAACTCACAAAATTAGCTGCCTTCTTATTAACCATGCAAATAAGCAGTGCATCCTTTGAGCGTTCATTATAAGCTCTGAAGAGTTTCCACACTTGCCTGTACAGCACGAAGACTCGGGAGAGCTGAGTAGAAACATCTTCAAGATTTAGGAATTTGCCTCTGTGACAGATATTTTCACAAAAAAATTCTCCGCTTTGAATGAACGTACAAGATAAATAATAAGAGGAAAAAAGCTCAGTATTCGTTAATCATAATTTCTTAGTTTCTATTTCCTTCCTCCTTTATTCTTTAACTTAATTAACATTCAGCTAAATTCTCATAGCTGTCTTGTACGATGTACATATACTGTATACTCAGTCTCCGACATTTTCATAACCTCTTTCTTCCTTGGGATTTTACTGACCCCTTAAGCCACACTCCACCACTGGCTCAATCACAGAATGAGATGCAATCCATTTTCTGCATAGGATCGTGAATGCATAGATATACTGAACATACATTATGTAAGAGAACATGACATTGAAACACATTAAAGTGATAATAAATTTCACTTATGTTATGGATAATACAGGGTTTTAGAATGGTTCCTACTGCAAGCTTCTGTGCCAACATCTATTATGATTTTAAGGGTTGATATATCAGCGTGGGAAACTTTGAAGAGTTCTATCTTCTGGGATATAACAACACTTCGTGGCTTTAGTCCGCAAGCGAACTGTACCGACCGAGCGACCGCCGCTTGTCGGTGAAGTTAGTGCCAATTTTAGCGGATAGAGGGTGTCGCGCAGTCAGCACAACGAATCCCCACGGCCGTTAATTTCGGTCTTCTAGACTGGAGCTGATATTTCTTGAAATATCTCCTCAGTTATCCACACGAGGCTGAGTGGACCCCGTTCTAGACCCACTACTTCTCAGAAAATCTGGTAGCGCTGGGAATCGAGCCCGGTACCTCTGGATCTGTAGCCAGGAACTCTGACCACTGGACCACAGAGGCGGTCATCTTCTGGGACATAACCAAGTGTAATCCGTAGAAAGAGAATTGACGTTTCGGAGGAACACGCGACCCCTATCTATCAAGGAAGAAGAGCAAGCCAAGCAAACCAAAATTATGCAGGCAGTAAGCACAGCGCGGACTGTACAGGTTTCGCGGCGTTATATCCCTGAAGTTTGAACTCTTTGAAAACATCGCTGTGAGAATCTCGATTCCTTCATGGGAAACTTTGCTCCCATTTGCGTGTTTTGATGCCAATATTGACGAGCCTGTGTTCCATACAAATAGTGCTCCTTGTTAGGTAATCTTACGCATATAACGTGGCAATATTCATAAGAAACGTATCTGTGTGTTGCAGAATTTCAGGTTTTCACAGCGGTCACTATGAAAAATGCCGTCTTTTGGGATTTACGCGGCGCCACATCCCAGAATACGGCATTCTTCATCTGCGTATTAATGCTATATGGGAATGCCATTTTTATATTTTATTGTATTTACAAATACATAAAAATGTCATATTTAAAAATTATTTCAAAAGACAAATATCACTAATATTTATACTCTTACAACAGACCACTGAAAGCGGTATTTTGTGTTACAGGAACTCCAGAATTTATGCTACATTCCACATGTTGAAATTCTAGTATTCAGTGCACAAAGAAAAATGCACAATGATCGAAATTCTGTTTGTATACCACAGTACATTTCAATTACCTATTAATCTCGAGATCACATTGCTTATTAGTAGAGAACACATTGATGTAATATATATAAAAATAATAAGCTACAAAAATCATTGATTCATTATGCTTCGAGGTAAAGTAAAAAAGTAAAAGTAAAGCTATCCCAGTAACAGACCACGGAGGCCAATAGGGTTGTGAGACGTTGAGGTTCTCACATTTTCTAGACAATAGGCTCAAAGATGGTGGTAAGGTTGTCAGCCCTACGCGCCGGCCGCCCTGTACCCCCCAAAACATTCCAAGAATATTCCTGGTACTCATTTCTGTTAGAGGCTGACTCAACCCCAGGGTCATAGTGCGGCTGGAAGGATTAGGTAGATTGAAAAAAATCCAGTGACCTCATCGGGACTTGAACCCACGACCTTCCGGCTTGTAGCATAGTGCTTCAACTAACTACGTTACCGCGGAAGTACATTTAATAATAAGAGCTTTACTTAATTATTGGCAGTATGACGCAAGCTTGTATGTAAATTATCACAAAATAATCACATATATTATGTACTTTTACGCTAATTTTGTTGTGTTAATTATCGTGCTTCTCACACAGTATAAATGGTTAATACAAAATACAGAATAAAAGTCCGATACAAATAGTGAAATAGTTGGTTTGGTAATGTTCTTAGAGATATGCTCTGTCAACGTTGGCATTCATGCGATATTTAGTATATCATGAGAAAACAATGATATTCTGATGTACAGAACCATTGCTAGGCAACGACTAGGTAAAAACATTTCCGCGGAAGCGTACAGGTGCAACAGTAGGACGTTCATTGCTATTTAACGGATCAATAGACAAGATTTTTTCAACAACAGAGAGGTTGTGTTTTCTGCGTGGTCCGTGCCGCGAAGTTATAAAGAGAAAAAGAAGGTCGTTCGAGTTAGTTGTTGCCGAGAATTGGGTCGAGCTCAGGAGACGGCAGTCGAAGATGACTGAGAAGAAATGAATTAGACTCTGCAAAGAAGACTTCATTTGTGATTTGAAGCCACAATGAGACGGTTATAAATCCTTTGCCAGGATAAGGCTAGGGAAGACTGAGAACCCTAGTGTGTATGTAACGGTGAGCCGTAAAGTGTGTAGATCAGGGTTAGTGCTGTACTACCCGTA